TTTTTTGAGAGCCGGAGTCTCCGGCTCCCTGGCGCGCCAGGCTAGAGTGCAGTGGCCCCGGAATCTCCAGCTCACTGGCAAGCCTGCCGCTCCCGGGTTCACGCCATGCTCCTGCCTCAGCCCTCCCGAGTAAGCTGGGCACACAGGCGCCCGCCACCTCGCCCGGCTAGTTTTGTATTTCTTAGTAGAGACGGGGTTTGCACTCGTTTAAGCCCAGATGGTCCTCGATCTCTGACCTCGTGATCCGCGCCGCTCTCGGCTCCCCAAAGTGCTGGATTACCAGCGGTTCGTAGCCACCCGCGGCGCCGGCCGACAAGGTATTCTTAGAGCGAATATCTTCTCGGACTGGAATTCTATCAAACTTATTTTTGGGTGACAAGTCTCCCTCACAAGCTCATGTCCCCCCAACCCCCCACCCCCGCTCAAAAGGGGTGAGCCACCACGCCCAGTGGTGTATTTTTAGTAGAGATGAGGTGTTACCATGTTGGCAAAGCTAGTCTTGAACTCCTGACCTCAAGTGATCCGCTTTCCCCAGCCTCCTAAACTGCTGGGATTGCAGGTGTGAGCCACCACACCTGGCCTTAAAGTTTTATGCAGAGATACAGGTCTTGCTATTTTGCCCAGGCTGGTCTCAAACTCCTGGCCTCAAATGATTCTCCCACCTCAGCCTCCCATTAATATATATTTTATGGTAAAATTGACCTATTTTATAACCAAATTGTGACATTTTGGAGTTTAATTTATTTCCCATTTTGTCTAATATGTTGCAAAAATTTTGTAAAACTTACAGAATTCTACAGGTTGAAAAAAAGACGTGCCTGTTCTCCTAAAAGCTAAAGCATACCCAATCTTAATCCCATGTATACAACATTTTTTTCCCACAATCTCACAGAAAGATTATAATGAAGGCTGAGCGTGATGGCTCACGCCTGTAACCCCAGCACTTTGGGAGGCCAGGAGGGGCTGAACACTTGAACTCAGACCACAGTGGGCAATATGCCAAAACCCCAACTCTACAAAAAAAAAAAAACATGAGTCCAGATCCTGAATCCTGTTTGGCCTAATGATGTGAGACACTGCTCACAGTAATCTTGGAGAACTCCCACTTCACAGGACACTGCCTGCGGGGAGTTGCCATGGAATACTTGCCCTATGATGGGAAATCTTAACCTTTTTTTAACTGAGAAGATCTCAGAGCTGTGGTTAACAATCATATTAGGAATCTCAAAATATGTGGAACGCATTACAATGTTTGGTAGCATTTCCCAAAGGATTTGAATCACACAAGTTATTCTTTCTTTTTTTTTTTTTTTTTCTTGAGACGGACTGGCTTCTGTCGCCCAGGCTGGAAGTGGCAGTGGCCCCGGATCTCCAGCCACTGCAAGCTCCGGCTCCCCGGGTTCACGCCATCTCCGGCCCTCAGCTCCCGAGTAAGCTGGACTGACAGGCGCCCGCCACCTCGCCCGGCTAGTTTTGTATTTCTTATAGAGACGGGGTTTCACTGTGGTTAGCCCAGGAGTCCTCGATTCTGACCTCAGTGATCCCGCCCCGCCCTCGCC